CAGAGTGGCCACCAGGGAAACCTGGGGAGGGCTAGCCTCCCACTAGTTCGAATTAAGGGTCTACACAGCCCTTAATTCGAACTAGTAAGTTCGAACTAGGCTTAATCCTCGTGGAATGAGGATTACCTAGTTCGAACTAAGCGCTCCGTTAGTTCAAATTAAGTTCGAACTAACGGAGCGCTAGTGTAGCGCCTATGAAAGTTAGTTCGAACTGACATTCGTTAGTTCGAACTAACTTTGTAGTGTAGACATACCCTTAGAGATGGGCATCCCAACATGAGTAGGGTAAGGAAAAAAAAAATAAGGAAGAGGAAAGAGATTCCCCCCACCTCAAATTTGCAGTAGACATGATGGTGTCAGCATATCATATTATGAAAGCTGTGTCCTAGTCTGTGTGCGGTAGGGCAGAAAGAGAGATACCTCTCCAACTCATCCTTAGTGATCTACAACCCATCCTGGACAATGATCCCTCGCTTTCACAGGCCTTGGGAGGTAGGCCGGTCCTTGCCCACAGACAACCCGCCAACCTGAAGCATATTCTCACCAGCAACTACACACCGCACCATAATAACTCGAACTCAGGAACCAATCCTTGCAACAAACCTCGGTGCCAACTCTGCCCACATATATACACCAGCAACACCATCACAGGACCTAACCAATCAGCCATACTGTCACTGGTACATTCTCCTGCACATCCACCAACGTAATATATGCCATCATGTGCCAACAATGCCCCACTGCTATATACATCGGCCAAACAGGACAGTCCCTACGTAAAAGAATCAATGGACACAAATCTGATATTAGGAATGGCAACATACAAAAACCTGTAGGGGAACACTTCAATCTTCCTGGACACACAATTGCAGATCTAAAAGTAGCCATCCTGCAGCAAAAAAACTTCAGGACCAGACTTCAAAGAGAAACTGCTGAGCTACAGTTCATCTTTAAGTTTGACACAATCAACTCTGGATTAAACAAAGACTGTGAATGGCTTGCTAACTACAAAAGCAGCTTCTATTCTCTTGGAATTCACACCTCCAGATCAGCTGCTAGAAGTGGGCCTCATCCTCCTTGATTGGATCCACCTGGTCATCTCCAGCCTGATCCTGGCCTGCATATTTATTCCTGCCTCTGGAAATTTCCACTACATGCATCTGACGAAGTGGGTCTTTGCCCACGAAAGCTTATGCTCCTACACTTCAGTTAGTCTATAAGGTGCCACAGGACTCCTCGTAGCCTTTGGGAAGAGGCAGAATGATTGCCATTAGTGATGGAAGATAATGGATAACATTTTGGATTGTTCTGCAGGAGATGGTGTGAGTATGGATCGACATATGTACTTTCTGTATTATCTCTGTCTACTGAGCTAGAGTGTTTGTGACTTCGCTAAACATATCAATACATATAGAAGATTTCCTATAATGTGAGAGTTGCAGCTATGTGCTTTGGGGTTCCCAAATATATATGAATGTTAATATATGGGTCTGGGTCTGATTTCGAGATAAAAACCTGCCAACCCTCGCAGTGACAACTGGGAATTCTTAAGTAATCAAATAATATAATATAACTAATAATGTATAGATCAGGCTTCAATGTCATAAAAGCTAATGCCATTTGTAGAAGGAATTTGAATTGATTCCTATAAGTCAAAACTGTACCAGTTAAACTATAAGTAACTGCAGACTCTGTTAACACTTTCATGGGTATTTAAATGTTATACTCCAAATAGCTCATTGTTTTCAAAATGATTAACACCACAGTTTTCATATCCCCTACTCATAATTCCAGTCATCTGAAGAAGTGGGCTGTGCCCACAAAAGCTCATGATACTATCTACATGTTTTGTTAGCCTATAAAGTGCTACCAGACCATTTTTTTTCTGTAACATACTAACTCGGCTACCCCCTGAAGCTCCTGAACACAGTGAGGGTTAACCTGGCCTGATATTTTTCAACCAAATGAAGAAATCAAACAAATGAAAGCTATGACAAATGCACAGCACAGGTTCAGTTGAGATTGTTCCTGATTTACAGAGAAGGAAAAAATGAGATGCATATATTGGAGTGTCTTCTGGTTTGTGCAGTGTAGTCACCTAATGAAGGGTATGTTTTCCTCTGAGTACATGCACAGATCTCAGTAAGGTTCATAGAATCAATACACACAAATGGAGAAGAGAATGGATACCTACTCTGAGGTCCAAGACAAGAGCAACACAAATGCCTCTTCAACTCAACAATATTCCAGTAAGAGGGAGATCTACCTGGCTCATTAATAATGGGAAATGAAACCAGAGATTCAGAGACTACCCAAAATGTGTAAATGATCATTTGTTCCAAATAGAACTTCCAGGGCTTTAGAAGTTTACCCATGAATACCTGAAAGTACATTCTTCAACTATTTTTGGATCAAAGATTTCAGCTCCAGGGCATATATAATTAACACCAAAGAGAAGAAAAAACAGCTCAAAAATTGCAAGTTAAAGTTACCAAAGTTGCTTGGTTAATAAATACAAAGAAATATCAGAGCTTATTCATTCATGCCACCAAAACCAATGAGAGTAACACAGAAGGGTGGGCTTTGCTTGGGTGGGTGTGTAAACATGATAGAAATAACATTGTGAGGCTGAAGAATCCAGTAGAACCCCCTGAACTTCCCGCTGTCTCCTTGCCCGGAACAGAGTACTTGCTGTTGCCATTTTACAAAGGGGGAGGGGAAGATACAGCTCTCACACACACTCTTTTGGCCTCCACATTCAAATCTAGTGCATTCTGGAGCCAGCAAGTCATATAGCAAAGGCTGTCATATTTGCTGAAGTATCAAGATGAATTTCAGCACAGGCAGAAGGCACTTTGAGAGGAAAAGTGTGAGAGAAGGGGAGTTAGAGTCAGATTTCTTTTGCTCTCATCTATCTAAGTTTATCTTCTACTTGTGTTGGGTCTGTTTTAGCTTACGTGCTAGATTTTGGCTCTGATTCTAAACAGTTTGCCATACAGACATACTTCATATGCCTCAAAGTAATTCAGACTGTCTTAACCATGCTAAAGAATCAAATGACAGTGCAACCTTTTCATAAAACTCTGAAGTTTAATGGAAGAGAAGCAATAATCTAATCACAAAATCTATAAAGTAACAGAAGTTTAATCTTTATGCTACTCTTGTGCTTCATAAAATCTTTTACTTTACTCAGAACTCTTCTCTTTCTGCTAATAAGCAATCAGCAGCCAACTAGAACTTATTGGTGTGATAATGAAAAGGAAAGAAATTTATGCTTTGACCTAGATTTACATGATGCTGTCTCCTGCTGTTTTGAAAGCAGAAGATGTGAGGCAATTTGGTGCATTTGTTTTTTAGTGGCTTCTTGCATGGCTTAACAGAATCACCACGTTAGTGCTCTATTTTCACAAATCCAGCAAAAGATTTTATTTTTTCTTCATCAAGCTTGGTTTAGTTCAATGCCTAACTCCAATTTGTGGATAAATATATGCTTGAATCAACCAACAATGGCCCAATTGTGGAGTGTAAGTGTTGAATGGTACCCTGCAAAATCCAACTGATAGCTTTAAAATATCTATCTCGGACCAACAAAATGAATGACAAGACACATTTATGGTTAGTATTTGTTCCTTTTAATTTTGAAATATTAAATTTTCTGCAGATGGTGCATATGATAAGACTTTGATGATGTTGTTTAGAATCACCCTAAGGGGAATTCTGGCAAAAATCCCTTTTTGAGCTCCAAGTAATGTAATGGACATGCTACACCATGTCCACCTCTTTGTCCTTGGGCGGCACCAGTAGCCATGTCCCCTCTATCATTATGCCTCCTTTTGGAGCACCACAAGCAAAAGAGAAATAAAAATAAAATTCTCTTATCCATATCAGCAAATGTGCAAGGATTATGTATGGGCAATGGAAGTTATCAAATAATTAGATGCTGGCATCATGTCTAGCTAAGGACATCCATGCACATTCTATGCCTAAATGAAGGACTAAACATGCATGATTATCTTGTACTCTTGTCAGCATGGAAAGGTTAAAATTTGCTGCATTAGAAACATCATTTTAGTTTAATCAGCAGTGCTTATAATACCAAGCAGATTAGATTTGTCATTTTTAAAATACAACAAATGATTGTGCAAATGATCAATGACCTTCTGAGGTCTCTTCCAACCCTATGATATCAACCCTCTCTAACAGTGAAAGTGAGCTTGGGGGAATAGTTCATCATTCTGTATCTGAAATGGGGCCATGTAGACTGCCCTTTTTAACATTAAAATTCAAGTTATTGCTTACACTGGATTTTTTGTTTTAAAATAATGTGAGATGTATTTTGCCCTCAAACCCACTACATTTCATACCAAATGAGGAGCTCTCTGGACTGTGTGAATAAAGCACTAAAACTGTATTCATTTTATAAAACAAACAATTTTTAACAGTCTCTCATAAAACCTTACGTATTTATAGATGCTGAACTCGTACGGAATTAAGGTTACTATTAAAAATGCATGAGAAGTCATGTTATCCTAAGACGGTGACTTCACTGAAGGGGCAAAGTGCAATTTATGTTATGCATAAATGCAGAAGCTGAAACTGCAAGGGCAGATGACTCAGAAGAAACGCATGTGTTAACTAATATCATCTTAAACATCTTGTGACACCACTGTAGAGAAAAGAAAAAAAATTACAAGTGTTATTTCATCACTTAAGGGAAAACAAGGGCACTTTAGTATTCTATGTTTTCTGTTTTTTGTGCTGCACACAATAGTATGATTCATGAGGAACCATCTACCTTGTTATCTAAAGTTGTTAAATAAAAATAAAAATGAGGATACCGGGAAGAGTCTTGGGAGCCTGCATTCTGTTGATCACTGAATTACACAGCTGACTTTCATCACACATGTTCTATGTGGGTTTTATTCAAAGACAGACTACAATGGATTTATATGTATTCTAAACAGTTGGATAGAGTGCAATAACATTTTGCTTGTAACCAATTGCTCTTACAAAAAAGTGCTGGTGGAGGCTGATGTATTTTAAAACGACTTTTCTGACATCTGGAAGTAATATATTTGCTCAAGATCTCTTGAAAGAGCATGACTGGTCACAACCAAATCAACCAATTTGAAAAGACCTCTTCACATGGATAGTGATAGAGATGCAGCCGTGTGAGAAAAAATGGATTTGTTCTGTGACTGGCTGGAATCTGCAGGACCAGGTAGACTACTTTAATATCTTCATGTTTAGAAGATTTTGCATATTTAGATAATCTTCTAAAAGCCTCTATATAAATCTTACAAATGCTTTTATTTAGACACCAGTAAACCATAAAGAATGGTTATCAGTATCCCCATTTCACAGATGGAATCCTGAGGCACATAGGTGAAGTGACTTGCCCAACACCACCCAGCAGGCCAGTAGCAGAGCTAGGCATAGTCCTAGTCCAGTAGTCTTTCTACTAGATTAAATTGCTGCTATGTGATTCCTCAGTGCTCCTCCTTCCTGTACATTTTGTGACAATGGATCGGGGATAAAGCTCATGGGTTAAATGCTTACAGTGTGTGGTTGCTAAGAGGGCTGGTGAGAAATTATTTTATGTCCCAAAACCTTAACAGTTTGATTACATGGCTGCTACAGTAATAAAATGGGAAAGAAGAGTTGTGTCTGTCTCCACCCTGTAACAGGCAGCTGCCTTGCCACTTTTAAGTTCCCCTTGCCAGTTTCATCGGAGTAAACCATTATCTAGTACAACAGATGCCCTAAGCAGGTGAGGCATGGTTTCTTGCTGTCTCTTGCCCTATGCTGCTGTGTACACATATCACAGGCTTTTTGGAGGGCTGCACATTACTTTGGTACTGTGGCCCAAGTTGCAGAGTAAGCTGGGCCCCTCACTCTTACTAACCATGTCCTTTTGCCACTATTTGCCCCGTCTTCTCCAGCTATGGCTTAGTCTTACTCTCTTCCAAACTGTGCTGGCAGCTTTCCCCATCATCTCCTCATACTCATCCATGATGAGTGTCTTAATTATTCATTTTCTGCATTTCAGATCTTTCATATTTGTTACTTTCTTTCTCCACATCCCAGATCCCAGCTCATAGGGACGGACAGGTACAGGAACTCAGACAGTCCAAGAGAAGCAGGATTCCCCACATTCCACCAAGGGCAGAGAAAGGGAATGCAGAGGTATAGGACATCCTCAGGTCCCCGCACAAACTGATGGGAAACTCCTGCAGTTGATTCACTGGAAAGAATGCCTCCATTCTCCATGCCCTAAGAGGGCTCATAGTTGTGGGACAGGCCTGCTGTTGGATGGATGGAAAGAGGGGCTCCACTATGGTATTCAGGAGAACACGTGGTTCGGGGGAAGAGCTTGACCGCTGTAACCAAAGGCGGTCCGTTATGACAATTTGCTTCTAACACATGTCCCTTTCCAGGACCATGCACTCTAGGTCCATCTTTTGTGACAGCTCCAGGAAACCATCCTGTCACACTTCTTGCCTTCTCAGCCCTCTGCTGGGATGCATTCACTAGCTCCCGGAACATCTCCTCTCCTCACCTCAGCTACAGACATTTTTGCCTCTTCTATGGATGATAACTCCCTCGTAAGTGCAGGTCACGGTGCTGTAAGTGCTAAGGGAAATCTTTACTTCCCCAGAACAAGAATTGTCTTTTCTCCTTTCCTCAGCCTGTGATCCAAATACATACACCAAGGTCATTCATTTTCAAACACAGAACTTTCCGGACCACAACACCACATACAAATTTGCCAGAAGTACATTAACCTGCTTCCTCATGGCTGTGAGAACAGGGACAAGTTGGAGTTTTCTGCTGCCAATGTGAACTAGCATAATGAACAAACAAGCAAGATGGCCACTTGTTAAATGGTGAACATTATAGAGCTTAAATGACTGTGATGTTCAGAGTTCCCTCCCTGCTTGTACAGAATGTAGTGTTAATTGGAAACAAAATCTTGCAGCTCAGTCATGGACATTATTTATCTGACTAATTATGAGATTTTAATACTAATTATTGATTAAATTGTTTTAGTAAGATCATAAGGAATGCAAATAATTTATCACATATTAAACTAAAATATAATAGAAAGATGCTATTTGAGTAATAAAAACAGCAGGTATTGTTTACCCTGAAACTGAGAATCTCAGTAATGAAATGTAGTTGAACCTTTCTTATGTTAGCTGAGCTTAGTTTTGCTCTAACAAAATTACCTTTAAGGCTTTTCTGAACTTCTAACGCGATGTCCAGGGCATTAAAGGGCAGAACCGGTTCACTGGCAATTTGCAAAGTCACCTCTGCCGTTAGCTGAAAGAAATCAAAAGAGATTAAATAATTTCTAACATGTTTAATACTCAGCATTCTGTTCAGAATCCCATATAACTTCATTAGATTGGTCTGCCAGGGAAGCTGAGTACAACACACAGCTTCTTAAGGACAAACTGAAAACACACAAACAAGAGCTTCTACTGACAAATAATTCTAGTACAAAAATATATTTAAGAGACGATAATTTATGACCATGTCTGTTCAGTACTTTCCTATGACACAGGATGCTACTGGAGATTTAAAAAAACAAAAACACACCTTGTATTTCTAAATATAAGAAGGAAATTTAAAATCTCTCTTTTTCTTTTTCTTTCTGAACAGCAGACAGGCAAACTGCAAAGACTCTAAAGCCTGAATCCAAAACTCAATGAAGTCAAAGGGATTTTTTTTCCCATAGACTTTCACAGGCTTTGGAGCAAGCTCTTAGCATTGAATCACATGAATACAAACAAACTGAGCTGAACATTCACAGTGTCTAGGGAAGTATGTGATGGCTTGACGTGACCGTGCTCTGACCCCACATTGTTTGAAAAACCTCAATAACTTACAAATCAAAACTCTCCAACCTTGTGATCTGGAGGTCTCAGTCCAGCTCCAAGTGGACAGTAGGACCTGTCACATATTTCATTACTACAAATGGCACTTTTGTTGGCAATCTCAGAAGTGAGTCCAAGGACTAAATTGGCTTTGGAGGAGAACACCTCTTGTCTATATAGGTTGTCTCTCAGGCTTGAGCTCAGGACAATACCAGAGCAGTGCCTGAAAACTTGCTTTGCTACCACTATACTGTAACCTATGCTGTGATTAAACCGGATTTCCGTCTCCCAGGCCTTTAAGCCCACCACCATTCATGAACACTATAAAAACACACTTACAAAAATCTGGGGGGGGAGGTACTCATTTATCTCCTTCATCACTTGGCATTAGGCTATGTCTACACTGTCGACAGTGCCTATACAAATGAAGCGCGGATTAGCATTTTGCTTCACTTAATTTGCATAATTTATTTGAGCCATTTTTGTGCAATGGGTTTTTGCGCAAAAACAAGCAGTGTGGACTTTTTTTTGCGCAACCCCCCCGTTTTGTGCAAGATCCTTATGCCTCGATCTTGCGCAAAACAGGGTTTGGGAGCAAAAAAAAACCCCATCCACACTGCTTGTTTTTGCGCAAAAACCCCTTGTTTAGACAAAGCCTTAGAAAGAAAGTTTCAGGGCTATGCTCCAAGATGGAGGGAAGACTACAGCTAACAGTGGCAATGATGAGAAAAATGTGGATTGAATGGAATAATATTGTACTTTAAAGGCATCAGAAGGCTTTGATATAATAAAATGTACCTACCAAAAATCTATCTGAAGCTGAGAGGCTGAAAGCCGCATTCTAATTTGATAATACAAAAAGGTGGGGAAAGACAAAAGCACTAACTGATATGAGGAACATTACTGGAGGAACTGAAAAGAAAATATTCATTACTGAGCTCCCCCCAAGAACAGATGAAGATGAAGCAACACACCAAAAAAAAAAAAAAAAAAATGAAGCAACACACCAAATCTTTGTGGAAAGAGAAGATAATTGGAACCCCCAACAATTCTAAAAATGAACCCAAATAAACATTTTATTTGACCTGCTCACTGACTGATTTCAGCTCAGAGATAGAAGGAGAACAATTTTTATCAAACAAACTCACATCCAAGCAGAGACCTACTGTGGAGCTATTAATATTTACACCCAAAGACATAATATTGCAAAAGGCACAGAGGAAGAAAACTATCACACACAGGAAGAACAATGGGAAAAATACATACATCATAGTGGGATAACTGGAGAACAGAAGCAGAAGCATAAGGAAGGGATTACGTCAGTGTTAAAAGGTATGGAGTTCTAGCTGCTGGATAGATATTTTGACTCCAGATTAGAGGCCACTGAATTTTTCTTCAAGGCACATGTTGAGATAAAAACATTTTTCAATAAAAAGCTTTAGAAAATGCTGGTTTTTTCCTATGAAATAACATGAAGATGCTATGGAAGATAAGTAGCACAAGAGAGGAAATTCCCAGGTGCAGCAGAAATCTACAAACATCAAACTTCAATTATGAGCATTAAGCAATTGAAAGTTTAGCATCAAGCTCTTTTAAATATCGGATTCCAAATGGCCAATGGCTGGAAATCCCTCCTTGTATTAATAATATTACATGTGAAATGGTCTCAGTTGCCCTTCACCCTAATCATACATCAATATGCATAAGCTGTTGAGGAACCTGAAACTGTTGTATCTTCCGCTCAATGTATAGTCTGATACAGAAATGTTTAAGCTCATGAATAGCGCTGGAAAATACATCTTTAACAGTACAGCATAAATACTATGGTAGGGAAACACCGCAGGAAGCTGTTCCCCCTCTCCCATTCATCCTTAATAGCATCAATTTTGATTACGTTAAATTCCTCCTCCTGTGTATGTTTCTCAAAAGCAATTTTGTTTTGCTTCTCAGCTGCAAAAGATGAACACCCTTTTGTGCTATCCATTAGATTAGATAATACAGAAGAAAAAATGTTATGACTGAAGCAATTTGCAAATCTCATAGTAACAGTTTTACATATTGCTGTGGACACTTTGTATGTTTGTTAATGAAGTAATTGTAGTGTTTATTAAATCACATAGTTGGTAAGTTAACCTGAAGAAATCAATCACTGAGAGGAAAGCTCAGAGCATTGATTCTAGCAGAGTGAGTAATAATGCTGCAGAAACATACATCAAGCCCACGTAATGCAGCAAGACAGAAAAGGCCACTGATTTCTTATTTATAGTCTTATTTTTGGATATTCTCTCCCCAGAGAATACACATGCAAACTAAAGACATGTTTCTCCCCCTTTCAGAACATGGTTCAGACTGACTTATTTAATAATTTAGTAAAGGCTACTTTAGGAAAAGGTATAGACAATATTCCTCTTACAAACTGCAGTACTAAAAGGCAAAATAACAATAGCTTCGAACACTGCACAGTACCAGTTGTAATTATTAATGACAGCTCCTCTCACAAGTCATAATACACAATAACTGATCCAACAGGTGCACAAATATCCAGTCTGAAGAACAATGTTATAGTTTATATACCAATTGATTATGAGCTGTTTATGTTCTGCGATTGAATATGGAGAAAAAGCACTGAATGCTATTTCTATTTCACTAAAGCTTTGGGTATCGGTTTGGAGACTGTTTTCTTAAATAATCTGTAACCTTTATAGTGCAGATCCAATTATTTTCAAGAGAAATGCTAGTATAAAGGATTCAGATAATAGCAGAATGCTATTCGGTACATTACAAAAGGACTAAAAGGGAGTAGCATATGATTATCTCTTTGAACTGCTGTTTCCATCAAAAGACATTTTGAATATTCAAAATATATTTGACCTTTGCTGCACATAATCATATTTTTCATGCTGTTTCACTGTTCAGCTCAAACATAATAAGAACTACTGCAGGTGAGCCATTGACAGAAGACATCAGATCCTAAGAAACAGAAGAAATCTCCTATAAAAGCTGACAATAGCTAAGAAATTCCAAGGGGGGTGAACTGGATGCCTCCTCTAGCAAACAGCTATTGCAAGACACAATTCTTACTAGCATATGTAGCCCCTTGGCTTAAACAACTGGAAGGAGTGGCTTAGAAACTAGATCTGGTAATATTTGCAGCCTCTGTTATGCTTACACAGTATACATGCACAATCACACAGTTGAAAGCACAAAATACAATTACAACAAACTCAATAGGCACACAACATGGATTGGCTCTTCTGCCCCAGCCATATTTGCCTCGACTTAAAATTCAACATATAGAAAGTAGTAATAATTATTATTATTCCTCTTTTGGTCTGACAAAAAGTTTGGTTTCTGAACTGAGGTTACATGGGAATGTGACAATTATAAAACCTGTTTTCTAAATATAAGGTCTCTTTTCCTGGCTTTGCTCCCTTCCTTCTGGCTTTTGACACACACACATGCACCTCATTGGACCCTCCTGGAATCAGTTCCCCTAGTCTGACCACCTTACGCCCATAGCCCATCTCTACTCCTTAAGCCCATAGCTTCCACCTGAAGAGCCTTCTGCCTGACTCCTCCCTTGAGCCTGCTGACTCCCTTGAATCTCTTCCTCTGTCCTTTATCTCTCACCTCCCTGACAGGAAAGCCCCATAGCAGCTGTGCACTCTCCTCCTCCTGGCACCCCAGCAGCACTAGGCTGGCTAGACATTAGCAGGGAGAGCACAAAGAAAAGGGACACTCTCAGCCCTTGATGCCAGTGCCACAGGGGCTATGGGGAAGTGCTGCTGGAGAAGCTATCTGAAATTCTGCTGTATGGCTGAGAGAATTCAGCTGATAGTGGGGAAAGCATAAAAGAACACCCCCATGCACTGGCCAATTACATTAGTTTTAATTTTCAGTGGAAGAATTTCAGGCCACACGCCATTTTCCACTGGCCAGGCTTTCCAATGGGGCCAGCACCTGACATAAAAAAAAGAGGGGATTCAGCACCTCATGACACTTGTAAGGGTAGCTGCACCCTTGATGTACAGGTTGAACCTCTCTAGTGCAGTGCTCTCTGCTCTGACAGTATCTGTGGTCCGGCATTATTTTAGTTAGACAGATGTCCACTTATAATGGGTGACCACGTTTCCCATGGCCCTGTAAAGTTTGTTTCCTGTGATCCCATAAAGTTTGTTTATAGCCACTAGTCCTGGCTCTCAGTGTTCTGTGCTGTTATTTAGCTCCACTTTACCCCTAAATGATGATGTCTTCTATCATCCCAGTAAGCAACGGAAGTATCGGCAATGCTGCTAGACAATACCGACCCCCTCAGTTTGGCAAATTCTCTGGCTCAGCACTGGTTGGGTCCTGAGGGAGCCGGCTAGAGAGGTTCAACCTGTATTCTCCCTACATACAATCATCAACATCTTAGCAACTCTGCTCCTAAGGGAGCTCTACCTG